AGGCACGCACCACCATGCCCAGCTAATTTTTTGTATTTTTAGTAGAGACGGGGTTTCACCATGTTGACCAGGATGGTCTCGATCTCTTGACCTCGTGATCCACCCGCCTCGGCCTTCCAAAGTGCTGAGATTACAGGCTTGAGCCACTGCGCCTGGCCAAGGCAACTTCTTATGCCAGATTCAAAAGGTACAAAAGGATATTTAGAGAAAAGCAAGGCTGCAGCCTGAAGACAAGCCTGTTGGCTATATCTCACTTCTTTCTCTTCAAACACCTAGATATCCAAAAAGAACTATTGGTTAACTCAGTTAATTTTTATTTTTATTTTTATTTTTTTAAATTTGCTCTTGGCATCACAATGATCTTGTTGCAAATTTTTATTTTTATTTATTTTTAGTTTTCGTTTTTTGAGACAAGGCTTCACTCTGTTGCCCAGGCTGGAATGCAGTGGTGCTGTCACAGATTACTGCAGCCTTGACCTGCTGGGTTTATGTGATCCTCTCATGTCAGTTTCTCCAATAGCTGGGATTACAGGCGCATGCCACCATGCCTGGCTAGTTTTTAAGTTTTTTTGTAGAGACAAGGTCTCACTTTGTTCCTAAGCTGGTGAACTACCGAGCTCAAGCGATCCTCCCTCTTTGGCCTCCCAAAGTGCTAAGATTAGAGGAGTGAGCCCCCGGATACAGCATACAGGATTGTTTCAACTTCCAGATCCAAATCCAGCACTTCCTTCCTGTAGTAACATTGGGCAATCTACTTAAGCTCTCTCAGTGTCAGTTCTTTCATCATAAAGCTAGCCTGACAGGAGCATCTGCCTCATAGAGGCGTGATCAAGATTAGGTAACTTAATCCGCAGAAACTTCTTAGCATGATACGCTGGCACTGTTAGCTGCTGTTGTCTGTTTTATTTAATTGTTTACATTTTATATATGCTTTCTAAAAGACGAGGCTGGTGGTGGTGGCTCATGCCTGTAATTCCAACATTTTGGGAGGCTGAGGTGGGAGGATTGCTTGAGCCTAGGAGTTTGAGACCAGCTAGGGCAACATGAAAAGACCTCATCTCTATAAAAAATACAGAAATTGGCCAGGTGCGGTGGCTCATGCCTGTAATCCCAGCACTTTGGAAACACACTCCGATAGCACTTAGATATGTGACCTTGGGCAAAATTACTTAACCACTCTCAGTCTCAATACCCTTATTTATTCAAATAGGGTGATAATAATAATATCTACCTCACTGAGATATTGAGAGTATTAATAAATTTAAATAACTTAGAAATTGAGGCGGGCTGATCACAAAGTCAAGTGATCGAGACAATCCTGGCCAACATGGTAAAACCTCATCTCCACTAAAAGTATAAAAATTAGCTGGGTGTGGTGGTGCCCACCTGTAGTCCCAGCTACTTGGGAGGCTGAGGCAGGAGAATCGCTTGAACCTGGGAGGCAGAGGTTGTAGTGAGTCGAGATTAAGCCCCTGCACTCCAGCCTGGCAACAGAGCAAGGCTCCATCTAAAAATATATATTATATATATAATATATAATGTATATTATGTATAATGTATATTGTATAATATATACATTATATAATATATATTATATAATGTATATATTATATAATATTGGCTTAAGCCCAGAAGGCAGAGGTTGCAGTGAGCCAAGATCATGCCCCTGCTCTCCAGCCTGGGCAAGAGAGCCAGACCCTGTCTCAAAAAAGAAAAGAAAATTAGCTGGCAGTGGCATGTGCTACTGGTGGGGGGGCTGAAATGAGAGAATTTCTTTCTTTTTTTTTTGAGACAGAGTTTCACTTTGTTACCTGGGCTGGAGTACAGTGGCAATCTCTGCTCACTGCAACCTCCACCTCCTAGGTTTAAGTGATTCTCCTGCCTCAGCCTCCTGGGTAGCTGGGATTACAGGTGCCCACCACTACGCCCAGCTAATTTTTTGTATTTTTAGTAAAGACAGGGTCTCACCATATTGGCCAGGCTGGTCTCGAACTCCTGACCTTGTGATTCGCCTGCCTCGGTCTCCCAAAGTGCTGGGATTACAGGCGTAAGCCACTACGCCCGGCTAAGATGAGAGGAATTCTTGAGCCCAAGTCAAGGTTGCAGTGAGCTGTGTTGGGTTGGTGCCATTGTACTCCAGCCTTGGCAACAGAGTGAGACCCCGTCTCAACAGCAACAGCGATCCACAGAAAGAGGCAGATCACTTGAGGTCAGGAGTTCGAGACCAGCCACCATGACCAACATGGTGAAATCCCGTCTATACCAAAAAATACAAAAATTAGCCTGTAGTTAATTAGCGTGGTTGTGCACACCTGTAGTCCCAGCTACTTGGGAGGCTGAGGCATGAGAATTGCTTGAACCCCAGAGATGGAGGCTGCAGTGAACCAAGATTGTACCTCTGCCTGGGTGGCAGAGCGAGACCCTGTCTCAAAAAAAAGAAAAAAAAAAAAAGACTAGAAGGAAATACACTAATGTATGAACAGTGAAAGATCCTGAGTGGTAGGAAAATCTTGACATTTCTTTCTTCTTTTCTGTTTTTTCCAATGAATATGTCTTTCTTTTATAATCAGAAAAGGAACAATATATATATGTTTGAAAGGAATTCTCAGAATCCATTTTCTAGGGATTTGAGTTAGTAGAGTCCTGATAAGGGACACTTTCCTGTACTTACTACCACTGTTGATTATGCCTGTGATCCTACCAGCAGCCCTCAATGTTGCCTTTGTTTGCCCCACAGGAGAGCCCAAAGGATGGCTGCTGACATGCAGAGGAAGAGAAGCAGCGAATGCCCTGATGGCACATTGACTCCTTCTGATGGACAGAGTGTGGAGAGAGCTGAAAGCCCCACACCAGGACTGGCCCAGGGAATGGAGCCAGGTATGGGCAGGTGTACAACCTCAGCCAGCTGCCAGCCAGAGGAGGCTTCAGGGGGAATTGAGATTCCCAACCACTTTTTCCTTTCCACTTATTCATGCATTTGTCAGCCATTCATTGGATATTTGTCAGGTTCTGGGGATAAGGCAGAGGCTGTGCTCATTCTGCATCTGGCCTTCCTCTCCAGTTCATGTTATGCTGCTCGCTCTGAGCTTTTGGCTGCCAGTGTGGGCTCTTCCGTTCCCTGTGTCTACAGTGCACCTCCCCGGCTCCTTCTCCCCTCCTCACAAGTTAGGCCTGCTCTGACCATGCTCTGTATAGGACACTAATTATTTTATAATTTTATGTCTTTATGCATATATTGCCCATCTCTCTCTTCCACAAGATCATGAACACTTGAGTGCAGGGCAGTTATATCCCCAATGCCTGGTACAGGGCTGAATTTGTAAGAGAGACTTAAAATATATCTGTTAAACTATTCTGTCAAAAAACCAAACTACTGGGCCAGGTGTAGTAGCTCACACCTGCAATCCCAGCACTTTGGGAGGCTGAGGTGGATGGATTGCCTGAGCTCAGGAATTTGCGACCAGCCTGGACAACATGGTGAAATCCCATCTCTACTTAAAAAAATACAAAAAATTAGCCAGGCGTGGTGATGTGTACCTATAGTCCCAGTTACTTGGGAGGCTGAGACAAGAGAATTGCTTGAATGTGTGAGGCGGAGATTGCAGTGAGCCAAGATTGTGCCACTGCTCTCCAGCCTGGGTCACTTTTTTTTTCTGTCTCAAAAAAAAAAAAAAAGAAAGAAAAAACCAATAAAGGAAGACTGACCTGGTCCTTGCCCTGAGGCAGTCACAGGCTGTGGGGTCATTACAGTGTGATCAGTCAGGAGGTATGACTTGAGTGGGGTAGGGGAATTTTCTCCCAGAGAGAGTGATTCATTGAGTATGGGTGGTGCTCCAGACACAGGGTGAGGTGCTGGGTTTCTGCACCTTGCCAGGTACCATTGTAGTTGGGGAGAAGGACAATAACTGGCAAGTGCCACAAGAGAAATCAAAGAGGGAGATATAGAGTGCCTGGGGTTGGAGGTCAGTAACTAACATCTTCCCTGAGAGCTGAAGTGTGACAATTAGCCAGTCACGTGGGGAGGTAGGAGACAGCTGACAGCAGGTGCAGAGCTCCCGAGGCAGATGGGGGCGTGTTGAAAGTGTCTGAGAGCACATGGATGCAGGCCAATGTGACCAAGATGGGCAAGGGAGTGGGTTGGGAGATGGGAGTGAGAGGTAGGCAGATGCCAGCCACCACTGCTGCCATGAATGGTTTGGGTTTTATTTCCAATATGAAGGAAGGAGACTGGTGGGCTGGAAGTTGCAGAGAAGCATGATCCATGGCAGACAGTGGCAGAGGGGAACAGTGGCTTGACCCTAACAGGACAGGCAGTCATGCTGGAGTGACCACATTAGGCACCTTGCTGGTAGGAGTGTCTGCCAGTAGCTACCCCTCTAAGCACCAGTGCTTTTGGCCTGCAGGTGCTGGGCAGGAGGGTGCCATGTTCGTCCATGCCCGTTCCTACGAGGACCTGACTGAGTCAGAGGATGGGGCAGCTTCCGGGGACAGCCCCAAGGAGGGTGCCAGGGGTCCCCCACCGCTGCCTGCAGACATGCACCAGATCAGCCAGGACTTTAGCGAGCTAAGCACCCAGCTGACGGGTGTGGCCCGGGACCTGCAGGAAGAGATGCTGCCAGGAAGCTCTGAGGATTGGCTGGAATCCCCAGGGGCAGTTGGGCGACCAGCCACAGAGCCCCCCAGGGAGGGCACAAACGAGGGGGATGAGGAGGATGCCACGGAGGCATGGCGCCTGCACCAGAAGCATGTCTTTGTGCTGAGTGAGGCAGGGAAGCCTGTGTACTCCCGCTATGGGTCTGAGGAGGCACTTTCCAGCACTATGGGTGTTATGGTGGCCCTGGTGTCCTTCCTGGAGGCAGACAAGAACGCCATCCGCTCCATCCATGCAGGTGAGCCACCTGGAAAGGGAATGGGGAGGGCTCCCCTGGCCAGGGTTCATTCATAGCAGATTTTGGACCTCCGCAGACCAGAGGGCAGGGATGTACTGTGTGACTGAGGATAAGTCCCTCTACCTCTCTGAGCCTCAAAATCCTCACCTGAATAGAGGATAACAACACTGCTGGCCTCATGGAGCTGTGGTGAAGACCAAAGGTGGCTCTGACATAGGCTTTGCCTTTGGAAAGAGTGAGAATAGCCGGGCGCGGTGGCTCAAGCCTGTAATCCCAGCACTTTGGGAGGCCGAGGCGGGTGGATCACGAGGTCAAGAGATCGAGACCAACCTGGTCAACATGGTGAAACCCTGTCTC